ACAGTCAGAGAAACAGGACTACACTGGAAAACAGGCCGATCTCCAACATCTAGAAACAAAGGTGTTGATGGCAGCAGCACAGTTGAAGCTACTATGAGAAAAAGCAGAGAGAGCAGAACGTTAGAGATTGCTGATGAAGGTTCTCAGTCATCCAGGTCATAGTCATTCAGTAAAAGTTCAAAAAATATCCACTGGACTTGGTAGTTGAAGACGTTTCTCCACCTCTTCAGGAAGCTTTCTTAATTCAAATGTCTGGATCCGCAGTGAGTTTGAGTCTTTATAGAAAAGGACTTCTATCGCTTGGAAACATGCAACGACAATCCCCCCCCTTTAACGACCAACCTTCCATTTGCAATAATAAATAATTTAATTATAATTTAATTCATATTATTTACAATGAAATGAACCATGTTGTGAATGGGGGTTAAAAATTTCGAACCTGCTTATTCATTCATTCATTTTATTGTTTTTTATGACGTTAAAATGATCAGTTTTTTGATGCCAGATTTTATCCGATGCTGCTGTATCTATATCGTTATTTCACATGTTCCAGTCTTAGTTAGATCTAAGGAGATGTTCTTTAATTGGTGCTAAAATAAAATCCTGAATAAAGCTGAATTTAGAATGAATAAACCAACGTTTTTGTTTGTTTGTTTGTTTTTTTGTAGAAGCTACAGAGGAGGTTTCGTTGGACAGTCCAGAAAGAGACGTCCTGCTGTCCGACGGCCCGTCTCCCGCCATCACCCCCATCACTCCCCCCACCTCCGTCATCACCCCTCGCATCGGCCACACACACGACGACATGTTCACACACTCCTCGTTCGATGAGGTAATCTCCCGCTCCCTCCGCGCCGCTCGGCTAACGCCAAACGCTCAGCGGGATTTATGGAGTTTCTGTTTCCTGTAGATCGAAGAGGAAGAAGGTGGAGATTCTTTCGACATTCACATATCCGTGTCCGATCCTGAGAAAATCGGTAGGTAGATATAAAACATCCCTGAAATAACCGGACATGTCCTGGTAAACCTGACCAGTTGGAAGGATCCAAGATGGAGGATTTATTTACTAACAAAGTCCAGCCTTTTCTGTCAGGAAAGTCTAGAATCTGGGAGAACGGGAGAAGCAGCATAAATCTGGGTCATTGGAGCAGAAGCGTACTGATGACATCACCACATTCTGGAGCTGCATTTCACCTCCTGTTCTCTAACATCAGAACTTTTTTAAATTACGCACTTAATCAGTAAATGGGCCATATAGTGCAGCTTACTTACTTTTATTGAACAACAGCAGCAGAAAAAAGAACTTTTAACTTAATCCTCTGAGCTCTGTGAGCGCTAACCTGGAAGCTGCTGCCGCAGTGCATGCTGGGACAGCTGTTAGTCTCAAGAACGGACAAGTCTGCTCTGATGCATGCTGGGTAAAGAGAGAAAAACATCCGGGGACTTTGTCCGTTCTTGGTCTGTGGTTCTTGTTGTCCTCAACCGATCCGTCCAAGAAGCGCGATCTGTCCTGCGAATGCGTGAACAGATATTCATCCGGTTATCCATAAATAATATTATTATTGTACTAAAATTACTTATTTCTATCTTTAACTCACTAAAGAATGCTAATAACATCTTTAAAAAAATGTTTTATGACTTCTGTGAGCCAATTTTATGCTTTTTACATTTTTTTCCTTTAAACTGTTTCTCTGACGTCAT